GCGCGTGGGGAGGTAGCGCCCCGCGCCCCCCCTCACGCTCCACCTGGGCCGGCGCCGCCCGCGTGGGGTGCCTTTGGGGGTCCAGAGCTACAAGAAGATGGGAACCGGTGTCGGGGCGCCCGTGCCTCACTCCGGGGGCGCGGAGGAAGTTGGCTGCGTGCTCCGTGCTGCACTCGGGGCGTGGGGAGGTAGCGCCCCGCGCCCCCCCTCACGCTCCACCTGGGCCGGCGCCGCCCGCGTGGGGTGCCTTTGGGGGTCCAGAGCTACAAGAAGATGGGAACCGGTGTCGGGGCGCCCGCGCCTCACTCGCCGGGGTCGCGGCGGGGTCGGGAGGGACCTCGGCGGCCGGTCGCTCTCGAGCCAGTGCAGGCGGATGGGGCGCAGCGTCAGGTCCGGCTGCCCACGTCTCTCCCCGCATCTTTCCTCCCAGCACATGGTACCCCGGCCCCAAGAAATCTTTCCGTTCGGCGGGCGCCCGCCGAGGGTCGTGGTGCCCCGCAGCCCCAGGAGTCGCCGTGGTCGGTTTCCAGGGCCGGGGGCTCTCCAGCCAGAGGACGGTCCCCCTGAAACCGAGGCAGGCGACCACTGCGGGGTCCCGGAGGGAAGGAACAAGTCCACAACAAAGTTTGTGTGAGGCAGTTAAGGCCGAGAGTGGGCGAGATCGGGCAGGGGATTCGGGGTGCGGACGGAGGACACCTCGAATGCCTCCTTGTCTCCGAATGTGTTTCGCTTTAGGGGCTCGGCTCCGAGCTCCCAGGCCCCGCGCCGCAGGCGATGGAGCGGCGCCGGGTTTGGGCTGCCGCGGGCACCGTGAGGACGAGGGGCTGGCCCCGGCGCGGCCTCCGCGGCTCCGGGTGTCTCTCGGGATGTTCCAGTCCCGGGCAGCATTTTGGGGTACCAAGGAGGGAGCTCTGGACCCCTACTGGGCTCAGCAGCGGCCCTGAGATCGCCACCTCTGTCCACTGAACTCTGCGGCCGCGCGGGCCCCGCGCTCCGGTCCTTCCCCAGAGGCCTGCTTTCCAGCAGAGGCCGGGGCACAGCGACCGGCGCGGAGAAGCCGGGGGACCCCGCTCCTTCACCCCGCCTGGCAGTCGAGAAGGGAGCCCCTGGCATGGGGTGGGGGGGGACCTGTAAGAAACTGGAAAGCACTGAGACCGATCGAAAAAATTGTTTACGGTATTTGTCCCCCACCCCAGTACTTTGTCAAGCAACAAGCCTTACCCCAGAGTCTCTGCGATTTCTCAGTCCGCTGAAAAGAGCCCCCGACCCCCGCTTTCCACCCCAGGCGAAGCCGGGCACGCGAGGGAAATCGAGGCGAAATGACCCCAGGCCGCTGCAGCAGCTGCGAATATTTTTCCGGGTTTTCTCAGCTGGTTTCTTGTGTCCTCGCCCCCCACACCCATCTTTCCTAAAGTTTCTGGTGAGACCTTTCCGCACCGTGATACTGTTAAAGTTAATGAATATAGGAAACGCCAAACAAACTGGAGAAGAAAGAGTTTTTTTAGTCTTTTTTTTTTTTTTTAGAAGTTTTGGTAAATCTGTACCGGTTTTATAAATTTTCCCCAAAAAAGAAAGAAGACTCAGGCTTCGCGGAGAAACGATGCTTGCCTGATCTTTGCCTTTCTCCTGTCGCTTTCTAAATCCTGAATTTTTAATAGTTCAGGCTTCTCATAAAGCCATAGCATAAAAGGGGTTCACCACCTCTTACCATTATTATTTATTAGACTTGTTTTTTTTCTAGTTGATTCAAGCTTTGAGGTAAGTTAATTAAGTGAATCAAGTTTCCTTTCTTTTTTTTTTTTTTCTTTCTTTCTTTCTTTTACTTTCTTCCTTTCTTTTTTCTTCCTTTTTTATTCCCAAAGGCTGGTTCATTGTCCTAAGAAGCAGTAAACTGCCAGGGGCGCGGTAGGAAACACTCCCCTCCCGGCCCCTTTCCCACCTCCCCCCACCCCCTCTTTCTCCTCGGTAGTAATGGTTTTAGGTTATGACCGTTTTTTTACATGGTTGAACAATAAGTTTGGGAGAAGCTGCCTAGAGGGTAGATTCTGTAATAGGGTTACAGGATTTAGTGTGTTGTAATAATATTAGTACACAACTAATCCTCCTCAAGGTCTGACTTACAGGAGGGCCTTGCCCACTGCAGCTCTTCTTATTTGGGTAGAACTGTGAGATAAGTGGGACCCGGCACTGGTGACACGTCTCAAAGTTACCTTCAAAAAGTCAGTGCCTTTTCTGCACTGGATTTAGCCACCTCGGTGCTCTCCACACGACGCAGGCTTCAAGAAGTTGTTGGGTTTTTGTTTTGTTTTGTTTGGGGGTTTTGTTTTTTATTTATTTATTTATTTATTTTACGTAGATACAAGGTGGTTAAATTTCAGAAGACAGACCTTAAGCAACGCGATTCCTTTTTCTTAAAATCTTGAAATGTTCTTAAAATGCGGTAAATGCAATATGGGACCTACCAAATCAGATCTGCTTGATGCTCTCACGTGCTAGCGTTTCAGATTTTATAACGTCTAGGGTAGAACCTAGAAAAGTTTGTGGATCCCAGTTACAGCAAACCCTGAAAACACGACCCCCCAGGCTGTAGGCAACCGAGGCTGCTGTGCTGGGTGCCATGCATGTGTGTGTTTGAGTGTGTGTGTGTGTGTGCACAAGGACAACCCCAGCCATGCTCAACAGCCACACCGAGAACTTCGTGGGAGCAAGTTAGGGGAAAGAAGATTGCTGGGTGGATCTTACAATGTTCACGTTTTCATTCTACTTCAGAGAAGCTGTAATACCAGAAACAACCTAAAATAAATCTGGGGATTTTTCTATTTCTTATGAAACCAAGATTATGGCGAATATGACTTCTCTCTCAAATGATATTCAACAAGTCTTGAATTACTTGTAGAAAGATGACCGCCGTTGGAAAAAGTATTTACGGAGAAAAAGAATTCTGAGGAAAGAGAATTTTAGAGCCTAATGATTTTGTATGTGGATTCTTTGCTTGAAATTTGGATTTCAGGGGTGTGTGTGTGTGTGTGTGTGTGTGTGTGTGTGTTGGTTTTTTTTTCCTCGGGTAACAGCATGGATGGCACATTCAGACTCCATTCATTTATTAAGAAAGTATTTTGGTGCTCATTTTTTTTTCCGAGAAAAAAATAATATTGGAAGAAAGATAAAAACATCATGAACTGCAGATAAAACACTCACTGTCATGCAAAGTATCATCAAAATTCCTCTTATTTACATTAATAATGAAATTCTATTATTTACCAAAATAATTTACTCATCGTGAGCAGCTTAATGGCAACACATCGGTTTCTGGGCCCAAGAGGTTAGAGAGAACTAAAATGAACTGCTTTTTTTTTTTTTTTTTTAATATGAAAAACCGACACCTGCAAGATAAGGCAGTTGGAAAGAATTTATGTTTAATCGGGCCTATTTTAAGTTTGTGGCATAATGAAAGATTCTGAATGAGAAAATACAAACTGGGGGGTTGCTTCTGGCTCTACATACGTCCTAAAACATTAAAAAAAAAAAAAAAACCAAACACACAAACAAGCAAAGTATATTTGGACGTGGGAGAGTATGTGACAGTGAATTTGTGATACTGAATGTTTGTGGTGTATTTTACGTCAGCTTTCTCCTATAGTTTATGGGCACAAGTGCCAATTTATAGGTAATTCTTAGGGGACTTTGTTTCATTTCTTTCTTGTGTTTGCAGGTAGCAAGTTTTCTGTACCAAGAGCCCTTTCGAAGGCAGAAACCTACATTTTTTAATGTGGAAATCTCACTGGGAATCTGGGGAAGAAATTGGTAGACTAGTTAGTTTTCTAAGTTTTTTTTTTTGAAATTGTTAAAAGCCAAGCTCTATATAGTAACCAGAACCAAATTTCTCCTGCAGTCTGAATTCGGTTTTTCTAAGACACATCCTGGTGCAGCTAGCCATGTCTTCCAGAATATTCTTAGATTATCCAAACCGAAGTAATTTAGCAGTTCAGCGAAGGAGACGGTAATTTATCCTAAGAACCGCCACCCCTCCCCCGCAAAAGAAAAAAGTCTGTGTGCCAGGCTTTAGAAAACTTAGATGTGTCGGGCTGTTTTAACCTTTGCTAGCCCCCTCCCATGCAAAGGTGACAAGGTCCAGATCATAATATGTCCTTCAGTATCTTCCCAGTGACCCCCAAATTGAGTCTTGCTAGTCACTTAGCAGGAAGTTAGTAGTTTATTTTAGTTTCACCTTATCAGCTTGGCTTCTTTTCCTAACCTTATTCCCCTGTCACCCTCAGATGCCAGACCCCCAAAGGGGAAGATTGACAGGTAGTTCCCATAGCTCAGTTTTACCCTCAAACAACAGGGATTTAGTTTCTTGTGCCTTTGCCAATGTTTATGTAGTCGAAGTTTAGATCTCGCCTTAAGGAGTCTCTCTTTTACGCGTCACTGGAATAGGAAAGCCACAAAGAAGTTTTTGAACAAACCCTTGCAACTGGGACCCCATCTAGTGTTCAGTTTGATTTATCCAAGGGGAAGACAGTTCCCCCTTTCATTTCTCACGTACCTTCGGTGGGCTCGTATCAGTACTTTAAAAGGAGCGTCTTATCCGTGTGGTTATTTTTTCAAAGATTTCACGTGTATTCTCGCATCGAGAATCCCCAGATCTGGGTCAGAACACTGAGAAAACTCGAAGGTGCCAGTACATTTGTCATCGGTTGCACATTACATAGAGGAAACTTAAGACATTACAGAAAATATGCACAGCATATGTTGCAGTGTTTAAAATTTCTCTGGAATCTGAAGCTGGGCAGTCAGGTTCAGGCTTTTCCCAGGTCTGTGCAAAAAAAAAAAAAAAAAAAGATAAAAGATAAAAGACCGATCAATCAAAAATGTTTGTGATAGCCTTTCTAAATTGGCCCACGAAAAGGAACAGCCTGCGAAAATTACAGGCTCCAAAACCACCATCACAAGAGGTTCTATTAAAAATGTTAATGTGATCTTAGGCAAGGGCAGGTAAGTGAAGGCTCTCCCTGAGAACCTCCAAAACAGAAAACTAAATGCAGTAGTAGTGTTTTGTTTTGCTTTGGGGTTTTTTTTTTTTTTTTTTTTTGTTTATGTTTTTTTTTTTTTGGTTTTTTTTTTTTTTCCCCCTGGCTGGCTGTGTGGGGCATAGTTTTATTTTTGTTTTCTCAGTAGACAGATATCCTGGAACACTTCAATTTTCTGCCTCCTATTCTGCAATGTTTGGTTCAGATGATGAAAAACTGACCGATTTGAACTGGGCATCAAGTACCTAAATAGTACAAAAAGAACCGAGACTTTGGGGATTTTCGTATAAATGGGATGGAGCTGTAAGACCACCTCCCCCCCCATTTCCCTCCCCCCAAACCCCCAGAAAATTCCAAATGTCTTTTTGTGTGTACATACTTAGAAAACCACTGCTTCTTAAATCTTCCTATCTGACCCAGATCACAAAATTAATTTGTATGCAAAATCCACCGAAAAGGAACCGGGATGTTATTTTCACCATAGTACAGGGAACGAGGCAACTGTATTTACTATAATGGGGTCACCAGTTGCAATCCTATGTAACAGTTTATTCGGAAAAATACAAGGTAGCCGTTGGAAAAATGAATTAGAACATCTTAGTTTGCGTGAGTGCGTGTCTTATTACTCCTTAACATATTCCCTTTAGTAGTTAAAGATTCAAACTAGTGCTCATGTTTTGTTTTGTTTTTTTTCCAAAGCTGTTTCATTGGAATTCTGTTCAGAATGCAGATAGAATTAAAGTTAAGAACTATTACAGTGTAGCGACACCTGCTTTTGAGATAAATCAAAATAGATACCAGGAATTTTTTTGGAGGGGGGTATGTTCATAAACATCAGGAAATTAAATTAGTCGACTCTACAGTGAGATCAAATGTCAGCTTATTATAAAATGCTGTGAAAATCTGAGCTAAAATATGGGCAGCGTTTTTAACACGGTCTCTTTCTTAGAAGCAAGCAGGCATTTATTTTTAAGCATCTATATTTTCTGTCCAGTTAGCACAATCCTAAATATAAAAAGGTTCAGGTTGAAAAACTTGAAAATTCTCAAGTGAGTCTTGAAGCAGCACAAATGTAGAATTTGAGTACAGGAAGGTAATAATCGGCTAAACCCTGGAAAGTAACCTTCTTTTTATTTTCTCTATATATTATGAGAATATCAGATGTTTGCAAGTTACAAAGAATTAAAATGCCCTTTAATCGTGAGCACAGATGTGCTAAATATTTGAAGCAACTACATTGTAATGTGTACAATTGATGAAGTCAGTTTTCTGATTTCCCTTGCTAGTTATTTAGTTCTGAATCTGTCATTATTTGTCTAAGCCCAGCTGACCAAGCAAAACTGTGTTTTAAAGTGGCTTTATGTTTTGATAAATGTGAGCTGGTTGAAAAGTATTTTCCACTGAATGCAGAGCTTAATAGAACATGCTGACATAATAGTTTTAATGCATTTTGTTGAAAATGTGTGAACAAACAGAATAGCTTTTGTTCCTTCATAATTGGCTGTAAAAGTAGATGGAAACATAACCATTACATATGGAAATGTGCAAAGAGAAAGAAATAACATTTCTGTTGAATATATTAGGAATTGCATTTCCTAGTTTAAAATAAGCATCTGAAATGGATGCATCATTTAAAATTGGTTGTCAAAATAAGAAGCTTTAAACGGAATTTTTGTCACATTATTTTTGTCCCAAGTTAAGCAACATAACTTTAGCGAATTTCGTTTAATATTTTGTTTATATTATTTTAAGGCAGAGAGAGAGACAGAAATTGCTTAAAACAGCACCTCGAATGTACATAGGAATCCGGTTACCAATTAGGATGATTAAACATTAAATTAAAACAGAATCCTTATTGGTATTTTCTGCTGCGACTGAGATGTGTTTGGTACTGTTAATGCATTTTGCACCATACCCTGGTGGAGATTAAAAGATGAGTATTAGGAAAGCTCCCTTGTTAAGTATAACTTAGCTGCTCAAATAACACTCCCAGTGAATAAAGCACGCATACGTTTGGCATACTTGACCAGGGTTTAATCAACTTCGACATCACTCAAGGCAAATAGAGTTGAGGAATTTTTAGAAGTTAGCATTTAGGTATTAATTATATTTTCTGGAATGCAAAACAAACTCAAGGGGTGTTGTTTTTTTGTTTTTTTGTTTTTTGTATGTTGTTTTGTTTTGTTTTGTTGTTTTGTTTTTGATGTTCACTACAAAAAGGCCAACGGCTGTCTCTTTTGAGTTGACTCAAGTTTACCGAAAAAGCAGCATTTGATTTTGTATTTATTCATATTTGCAATTAGGTTTTCTTTTTCTTTTTTTTCTTTTTTTTCTTTTTTTTTTTTTCCCCCCTGCAACTTTTCTGGGAGATTCAATTTGGAAGTCATGGAAACTAACTATTATCTGACTCAGTTCTGCAGAAAAGCATGCAGGGAGGTAATCCTTGAATTAAACAGTTTTTTTTTTTTCACAGCCTTCGGAGATGACCACACACCATTTGTACAACAGAAGTTGGTGTTCCCCATGCTGGGCAAACAATGGGGCGCCATCCTGTCTTCGAATAGAACGTTAGCTTGGAGTTGGAGATTTTTATGTTTAATTTACAAATGGATCTTAGTGAGAAGAAATCTGAGCAACCAGTGGAAACAAACATGAAATAAAGGGATTTTTATAATGAAAGGTTCAGGACAATCTGCTAAACAATTGATAACAGTTAAGAGCAAACTGTTTTTAAAGGCATTCAGACAAGGAGACCGGCAAAGCATTTCCAAACTCCAAACTAAGAATTATTCCTTCACTTCCACTTAACAGCACATCCTTCTTTGAGTTGATGTTTAATCAGAAATGTAAATCTCGTGCCAGTTTTATAGATATAAAGAGCACTTTCGATGAAATATTTAGAGGCATGATGTTGCTATTTGGAGCCTAGTGGCTTATATTCGTTGTTTAGTGGAGGGGTAGCCAGGGTTGCATTCTTTAATTTTAAAAATAAACATGCCACAGGGTGATATATAGATGCCAGGCAGACCTTGTAACGGATTATGGTCATTGTGTTTCTCTTCATTGTGTGTGCGTGTGTGTGTGTGCGTGTGTGTGTGTGTGGTGTGTGTGTGTGTTGCTGTCTCTTTTGTATTCAACTGGATCTTGAGAAACAGTCTGGAGGATTTGTTACTGAGATGTGACTAAAGTGTGTTTGTCACGGATCAGACTTAGCTCGGGTTCTAGGTAGGGGCTGGAGGTGATTTTCGAGTTGTCAGTCTTCAGCTTGGTGATATGCATTTCCTCCCCCCCTCCTTGTCAACAACTGATTGGAACCTGAATGACTACAAATTAGTTTAGTGACAGAACTAACTGTCACAGATATCTTTGAATCGGTTGAAAATGAATAAGGTTGACAGAAACTCAGAAGCCTAATAAGTCCTCAGAATGGCTGCTGGACCCTCTCTGGATGAGTAGACAATAAGGTGTGCAAAATATTGGAAATCAATACTTAGCTATGGAATTTCATTATGCACCAATGTCTTCAGTTCATAGTATTTTATATTTTGATGGATTATCTGAAGGCCATGGCTCTCTGAGAGACCAGACGGATAGGAATTCCTCCAACACCCTTAAAACGTAATTATGGATGTTCTTAGGTAACGTTGACTGGTTCGAAGGGCGATAGTTTTGAGTTTTGCGGGTGGAAGACAATTGATCAGCCGCTTTCATTTTCTTTTTTCCTTTTCCGTTTTTTTTTGTTTTTTTTGTTTTGAAGTCATAGGTGACCACGTGTGTCCTGGCTTCCTTCCTAACCCTGAGTCTTTCGATGTTTGCAGGAGACGCAGAGAAAGGACAACCAAATCGCCCCACTAAGAACAAGGACGCCCACGTCTGTGGCCGGTGCTGTGCCGAGTTCTTTGAATTATCAGATCTTCTGCTCCACAAGAAGAACTGTACTAAAAATCAATTAGTTTTAATCGTCAGCGAAAGTCCAGTCTCCCCACCTGAAACGTCCCCCAGCCCCCCTTCCGCTCACCCCGAGGAACAGATGAATGACACGGTTAACAAAACAGAGCAGGCAGACTGCCGCGACCTTCCGGAGCACCGCGGACCCGACGGAGACGAGTCCATGGAGGTGGAGGCCCCGGGGGCTGACAGAGGCGGCGGCGGCGGCGCCCCGAGTGGCAGCCGTGGCGGTGCCCCCCCCGGCTGCAGCGGCAGCTCCTCCACAGGTACCTCAGCCATCACAACGTCTCTACCTCAACTCGGGGACCTGACGACACTGGGCAACTTCTCCGTGATCAACAGCAACGTCATCATCGAGAACCTCCAGAGCACCAAGGTGGCGGTGGCCCAGTTCTCCCAGGAAGCGAGGTGCAGCGGGGCGTCCGGGGGCAAGCTGGCCGTGCCCGCCCTCATGGAGCAGCTCTTAGCCCTGCAGCAGCAGCAGGTCCACCAGCTGCAGCTGATCGAACAGATTCGTCACCAAATACTGCTGTTGGCGTCGCAGAACGCAGACTTGCCAACATCTTCGAGTCCTTCTCAAGGTACTTTACGAACATCTGCCAACCCCTTGTCCACACTAAGCTCCCATTTATCCCAGCAGCTGGCGGCAGCAGCTGGATTAGCACAGAGCCTCGCCAGCCAATCTGCCAGCATCAGCGGTGTGAAACAGTTACCCCCCGTCCAGCTACCTCAGAGCAGCCCCGGCCACACTCTCATTCCACCCAACAGCGGCTCTTCCCCCCACGTCAGCATCCTGGCGGCAGCGGTCACCACCCCGTCCTCGGAAAAAGTGGCTTCAGGCGCTGGTGCCTCCCACGCCAGCAACCCGGCGGTCTCGGCATCGTCCTCACCAGCTTTCGCAATAAGCAGCTTACTAAGTCCTGCGTCTAATCCACTTCTACCTCAGCCGGCCCCTGCTAACTCGGTTTTCCCCAGCCCTTTGCCCAACCTCGGGACAACTGCAGAGGATTTAAACTCCTTGTCCGCCTTGGCCCAGCCAAGAAAAAGCAAGCCACCAAATGTCACTGCCTTCGAAGCGAAAAGCACTTCGGACGAGGCGTTCTTCAAACACAAGTGCAGGTTCTGTGCGAAGGTCTTTGGGAGCGACAGTGCCTTGCAGATCCACCTGCGTTCCCACACGGGCGAGAGGCCGTTCAAGTGCAACGTCTGCGGGAACAGGTTCTCCACCAAGGGCAACCTCAAAGTCCACTTCCAGCGCCACAAAGAGAAGTACCCCCACATCCAGATGAACCCCTACCCCGTGCCCGAGCACCTGGACAGCATCCCCACCAGCACCGGCATCCCTTACGGCATGTCCATTCCCCCGGAAAAGCCGGTCACCAGCTGGCTGGACACCAAACCCGTGCTGCCCACCCTCACCACTTCGGTCGGCCTGCCCTTGCCCCCGACCCTCCCGAGCCTCACGCCCTTCATCAAGACCGAAGAGCCAGCCCCCATCCCCATCAGCCACTCTGCGGCCAGCCCCCCGGGCTCTGTCACAAGTGACTCCGGGGCCCCCGAGCCCGGCACGAGAAACCTGGGCGGGCTCCCGGAGGAAGCGGAAGGGTCCACGGCGCCCCCCTCCGGGGGCAAAAGCGAGGAGAACAGCACGGTCAGCGGCGCGGCCCAGGCCGCGAGCAGCAGCTCCCTGAGCTCCCTGAGCTCCCCGGCCGCGGCCGACGGCGGCCCGGCCGGCGCCGCCACCTTCACCAACCCCCTGCTGCCGCTCATGTCCGAGCAGTTCAAGGCCAAGTTCCCTTTCGGGGGGCTCTTGGACTCGGCCCAGGCGTCCGAGACGTCCAAGCTGCAGCAACTGGTGGAGAACATTGACAAGAAGGCCACCGACCCCAACGAGTGCATCATCTGCCACCGGGTCCTCAGCTGTCAGAGCGCCCTGAAGATGCACTACCGGACGCACACCGGGGAGAGGCCCTTCAAGTGCAAGATCTGCGGTCGGGCTTTCACCACGAAAGGGAACCTCAAGACCCATTACAGCGTGCACCGCGCCGTGCCCCCGCTCCGCGTCCAGCACTCCTGCCCCATCTGCCAGAAGAAGTTCACCAACGCCGTGGTGCTGCAGCAGCACATCCGCATGCACATGGGGGGCCAGATCCCCAACACGCCCGTCCCCGACGGCTACCCGGAGTCCATGGAGTCCGACACAGGCTCCTTCGACGAGAAGACCTTCGACGACCTAGACAACTTCTCCGACGAGAACATGGAGGACTGTCCGGAGGGCAGCATCCCGGACACGCCCAAGTCCGCGGACGCGTCCCAGGACAGCCTGCCTTCTTCGCCTTTGCCCCTGGAGATGTCCAGCATCGCCGCTCTGGAAAACCAGATGAAGATGATCAACGCCGGCCTGGCAGAGCAGCTGCAGGCCAGCCTGAAGTCCGTGGAGAACGGGTCGGTCGAGGGGGACGTCCTGACCAACGACTCGTCCTCGGTGGGCGGCGACGTGGAGAGCCAGAGTGCTGGCAGCCCGGCCGCCTCGGAGTCTACCTCTTCCATGCAGGCTCTGTCCCCGTCCAACAGCACCCAGGAATTCCACAAGTCGCCCAGCGTGGAGGAGAAGCCGCCGAGAGCAGTACCGGGCGAGTTCGCCAACGGGCTGTCCCCCACCCCAGTGCACGGCGGGGCTTTAGATTTGACATCGAGTCACACAGAGAAGATCGTCAAAGAAGACTCTCTGGGGATCCTCTTCCCTTTCAGAGACCGGGGTAAATTTAAAAACACCGCTTGCGACATTTGCGGCAAAACCTTTGCTTGTCAGAGTGCCTTGGACATTCACTACAGAAGTCATACCAAAGAGAGACCGTTTATTTGCACAGTTTGCAATCGTGGCTTTTCCACAAAGGGTAATTTGAAGCAGCACATGTTGACACATCAGATGCGAGATCTCCCGTCACAGCTCTTTGAGCCCAGTTCCAGCCTCGGCCCCAATCAGAACTCGGCGGGGATTCCCGCCACCTCCCTGTCATCTCTCATCAAAACAGAGGTCAACGGCTTTGTGCATGTGACTCCTCAGGATGGTAAGGACACCCCCGCCGGTCACGTCCCTTCCGGGCCTCTGTCGTCCTCCGCCACGTCCCCGGTCCTGCTGCCAGCGCTGCCCAGGAGAACCCCCAAACAGCACTACTGCAACACATGTGGCAAGACCTTCTCGTCGTCGAGCGCCCTGCAGATCCACGAGAGAACTCACACTGGAGAGAAACCCTTCGCTTGCACTATCTGTGGAAGAGCCTTCACGACGAAAGGCAATCTTAAGGTACCTCGCCCCACCTGCGCCTCGCCCGGCCGCCCAGCAGCCCCTCCCCGCCCCCTCGCCCGTCACGGGTTGCGATGCATGCCCTCAGCCAGCCCGGGAGGAAGGCCTCGCCAGGGGCCTGCTGCACGTGGCCGACCGTGGAGGAACGAGGCTGCCCGGGCGGGTCAGGGTCGTGCTGGGCACCGGGGCAGGCCGCGGCTGGCTGACTGTCAGACCGCGTTGAGTCATTTGGTCCCTGAGCGAAACAGCAGCCCGTCTCCCTTGTCTCGCTAAGCGCACCAAATGAATTGCATCACCTAGCGAGGAAGACAGCCGGGCCGGGCCTGGCCACGGGGTATTGATTAAAGCCTCAAGCCTCCCTGTGGCCTGCCGAGCCGCCCCTCTCACGAAGGATGGCCGTCCGCCTCGGCCTGTGTCTCTCTCTCTCCCCTGGCTGGCTACGCAGTCCAGCATGGTTTGTTTTTCTAAACACCGTAACGTCACCCCTCTGCTAATGGGTATTATGATAATTGATTAGACAACGCTTCCTACGGATAGGTGTTGGAAATTAAGCAAATATGCTTAAGTTCTACAGCAACAGTTGGGCTCTCGTCCTGTGTACATTTTTCTGTTGACAGAGCATTTCTCTAGAGATCGCTGCCAGTAATGCGAGATGAATAATTACTCTCTGGCATTCGCCTCCATGCGCCTGTCCTCCAGTGGGCAGTCGGTGAGGGGTTCTGTCTTCCCATCTCAAAAGGACATGGATAGGGGAGAGGGTGTCAGATACAATATTTACCACTGCGATGAGAGTGGACGTAACGATTCTAACCCTGAGAGGAGCTAGCTGCGACTGACTGGCTCGCCGGAGGCCATTCGAAGCTAAATGCGGGTAATAAAAAGACTAAGTAAGGGGCGGTGGCCCAGGCAGACGGGCGGCCGCCCGGGACTGCAGAGAGCCAACAGGTTACTACTGGGCGCGGGGCGTGGGGGTCCCCTTTACCTTTTCCACTGTCTGGCACGTGATCAGGACAGACAGTGAGGCCACTTGCTTTGCCGACTGTGGTTGGGACGTGAGTGAGACAGATTCAGCCACTAAGCCTCTCCTTTCCTCTCTCCCCTCCCCCCTCCGTGTCCCCCCAGGTACACATGGGCACCCACATGTGGAACAGCACCCCCGCCCGGCGCGGCCGGCGGCTCTCTGTGGACGGCCCCATGACGTTTCTAGGAGGCAATCCCGTCAAGTTCCCGGAAATGTTCCAGAAGGATCTGGCGGCAAGGTCAGGAAGCGGGGACCCTTCCGGCTTCTGGAACCAGTACGCGGCGGCCCTGTCCAACGGGCTGGCCATGAAGGCCAACGAGATCTCCGTCATCCAGAACGGCGGCCTCCCCCCCATGCCCGGGAGCCTGGGCAGCGGGAGCAGCTCGCCCCTGAGCGGGCTGACGGGGAACCTGGAGAAGCTCCAGAACGCGGAGCCCGGGGCGCCCCTGGCCGGCCTGGAGAAGATGGCAGGCAGCGAGAGCGGGGCCGGCTTCCGCTTCACCCGCTTCGTGGAGGACAGCAAAGAGATCGTCACCAGTTAGAGCGACTCGGGCCGGAGAAGGAGGACTCCTGTCCGGAGCGAGCCCCACAGTCGCCTCCTCCTCCTCGCCACCCCCCTCCCCGCCCCGCCCCCATCTCTCTGAACTGCCACCTTCTGAAGACATTCTTTTGTACCTTGTTCAACTTCTAGAGTTCTAAGAAAGCTTATTTATTAGTGATATAACCTTGCTTTGCAAACAGAAGGCAAGCGTTTAACTTTGGTCTTCTGTATTTTGGACTAAATACTAATTGACTAGAGTGCTGTAAACTTGCTGTAACATTTATGGCAATTGCAAGTTGCCCTGCTAGGCGGTCTTAATCTGGCATTAACTTATTTTCTATATCCAGTTTAATATGAATCTGGTGTTGATGCAATGCCTCCGTGATGCATTAGATCTCTAATAAAGTCTGTATATAAATGTACACTTTGATCCTGCTGGAAAATTTTATCAGCAAACACATTGTCTAATGTTTCAAAACAGAATTAAGGAAGGGACTAGAAGTACAGACTGAACAGTGTGGTTCCTTGAAAGGGTCGGTTTTTGTTTTTTGGGGTTTGTTTTTGTTTTTTTGTTTTTGATTTTGATTCTAAAATTCAATCTGCCTTTTTTTTTTTTTTCTTTTTTTGGTAGATTTGACCATTTCCGTTTTGAACTGCTATTTGTATCGTGCTTTTTACTTGAGTCGTCCTCAATGTTCATAGGTTTCTGTACAGTAATAAGCACGCGGAATTCTCTAGAGAAAATACAAGTGTTGTTTTGGTAGTTGAAACTGAGACGTAACATTTTGCCTTGTAGGTATATTCACGATAGAAGACCTGTGCTGGAATTTCACAATGCTGCTAAGTATAGCATCTTGAACAAACTTCAGTGGAGAAAATGTAGATTCTCTGTATATACAGTAAGAAATATCACTTTCATTAGAATGTACATATGTTCCTTACAAGAGCAAATGCTTCTTGATCAAGAGAGCAGGTATAGTGTTTGTTTATTTTGTATTAGGTATGGAAGAAAAAAAATTGGACTGTTACATGCACTTTCTTGGAAAGTCGAAAGGAAGGGGGGTCCAATTTCTTTAACATTTAATACTTACTAACAACAGAGATACTGTAATTTTACTCAAGTAATCAAATACATTTTTTTTTGCAACAGATAAAACCAAATACTGTGTCTGTGTTTTTAGAGTGCATTTCTATTTAGCTAGGCTCTGAAATGTGTTTTAACGTTTCCCCAGGCACCAGTAAATTGTGTATGTGAGTGTGTGTCTCTCCCTCGAAATAAGGAATTGTAAAAGGCATAGCAGAAACAGATTTGCATGGGCCTGTGGTTTTTCTTTTTTTTTTTTATTCGGAGGATCTAGATATTTTCCCAGTAACTATTTACCAATTTGGCTCATCCCCCAACCCCCCCCCCCACCCAAGAAAAAAGAAAAAAATGAAATGAAATAATTGTTACTGGAGCTTTCACCCAGACAGGTAAGTGTCCCTAAGCAGAATGTTTGTGCCCATCTACGCTTTGGTTGGATTTCGGCTGTTCTGGTTTCCTTTCCCAAGGTGCAGTCGCTCTGTTGTTGTTGTTTGTTGTTGTCGTTTCAGGAGGCGGAGAGCGGCCCCCTGCAGAATCCCCGATGGGGGCGTGGAGGGGCATATAGTCTGACTCAAACCCGTCTCAATCCAGGGAGGTCAACCTGTGCTTTATTTAATTAGTCTTTTAGGCACTGAAACACGTGCGTTTTCGAAAGGAAAAGTCCATCACGACAGATCTGTAGAATCGACGTGAATAGTTCATCCTCAAAATGCACATTCTTCCTCTCTCCTTTTCCTTCTGGGGAAATGTGTTTTCCTCCTGAGAACTATCTGGGGTGAGCAAGCGGACAGGGTGGCAGTTGGTGTCTAGAGGGGGCGTTGAACTTCTTTCGGCGAGGCTGGGACCCACCGGCAGCCCGCCTGCGCCCAGGTAAGGGAGGAGCGTCAAGCCACCTTCCAGTAGAAGTTTCCAAGGGGCGCAGGCCACTCAGGGTGCGCCTCCCAGGCTGTGGGGGGTCTGCGCTCCGAGAGGGCCCAGAAAGCATTGGTGCTGCCTGGGGGCCCAGGCTCAGCCTTCCAGAAGGTGGGCGCTGACCCCCACCCCCAGGCTCCCCCCAGGCGGGGGCGCGCATGGTGGAGGGGCGCCGCGTGCGGTCCTCGGCACGTCGCGGCTGCAGCAAGTGCAGGCTGCGTGGTTCGATGGCGATGGCGCCTCCCCAGCGGCCGCGGCCCGGGTTGCTGGAGAGTGCGGAGCAGGAGAGGAGGCCGGAATCCTGGCCAGAAGCTCTTGTTCTACGAGGCCCAAGGGGGGAGTTTTCATCGCGAAGGAGGCGTCCACCCCCTTCCCGTGGCTGGGCGCGACGTGGACTGGGTGCCCGGGCCCACGTGGTCGCAGGGTCTGGCTGCTCGTCCCGGAAGCGGCCCCTGCGCCCCGGGGCCGAGGCTGGGGGACCACTGGGGGGATCCGAAGGATGCTGGACACCGCGAGGGGCAGGCCGGCACCGTGCGCCCTGCGCCGCGCCTGCCTCTCCAAGGGCCCAGCTGGCCCGCCCGGAGCACGGGGTCAGCAGCTGGACCCCGCTCTCCCGCCCCTCGCCTCCTGTCGCAGCCACGAGGTCCCCACCCCTCGGGCTCCCACAGGCCGGCGGGCCCTGGGTTGTGGCCCTGCGCCACCCCAGGCAGCGCGTCCGTTTCCGCGAGGCGGGCGGTCTGGGGCGGGGGACCGGCGATTTTTTTCTTCTCCCTCTAACCACCAGCCTCCTCTCTGCTAGCGTTTTCTGAGCTAAGGGCAGCCGGAGCAGCTTTGCATTTAGACAGACTCTCCGAGGCGTCCGAAGCGCTTAGGAAAAGGTCAGAGCGTCCTGGTCTCTGTCTGTCCCTCCCCTCGCCCTCGCCCTCGCTCTCGGCTTTTGTCCCGGCCCAGCCAGCTACTGGTGATTCCTTCTAATCTATTGATCATCACCTGCCCAGTCCCCATTCCATGCATTTCCAAAGCAAGAAATTGCCCTCGGCCCTGCTTCCTCCCACCGTGTGACAAAGACACTCGCTCAGCCTTTGGGGCTCAGCCCCGCAGAAGAGAAATGGGTTTATATTTACAAAGCACCAAGGTGTATTTTTCAGGAGATGATGATCACTCCATCCCCTTCCCCAAGCCCTCCTGCCAAGCCCCTCCTCACTTGTCCATCTTTCTTTTCCTCTTCAGAAATTTAAGGTGCACGGAAGTAGTTCTGGAACCACCAAGGACTGAATTTCCTGGGTTGTGGCTGCCTGGAATGATGACAGCTAAGTTTACAAAATTTTTGAACTAAAAATATTCACTTCGGTGACATTTTCCCCAGTTTCTTTTTAAAAAAATACGAATTGTTGTAAAAATACAGAAAAGTACAGTAACAAACACCCTCGTGTCCGTCACACAAAATTTACAAACGTCTGCGACTTGTCTGGTTTTCTGTGTTTTTTTAAATAACTATGCTTTTTCCTCTGTTTCTGTCTCACGATCACTCTCACCTTCTTCTCATTTTTCCTCTTCCTGTGTCTTTCTTCTCTATATTTTTTGTGGTTTTTCTTTTTTCCCTCCATCTTGACTGCTCCCCACCCCCTGCTCCTTCCCCCCGCCCCCCAACGGGCTTCCTTCTTTCTGGAACATATATACTGGAAAGAGCAGTTTGGTGATTGACAGGGACCAAAGGAAGCAAAAAGGAAAGAGACCAATGATAGACCCAAGTCGCCTGAGACCCCTCACACCAGTGGCCAGGTGGGCATGGGGGGTAGAGTAAGGGAGGGGACGGTCCCCACAGATCACTTGGAGATGCCTGAAGCTAACTTTGAGTTTCCACATCTCATCCTCATAAGCTAAGTTTAGTCAACCGACTTTTATGGGGGTGTGGGGACAATTTTTTTTTTTTTTAATTAATTAGGAAAAAAAAAAAAACGTGTTCATACAGAAAATCCTAAATGATTTGCAGTTGACATAAATTTTCAGCGGTGGATTATTTGCTTATTGTTGTTTTTGCTCAAATAAACTCTTACAAATTTAAAAAAAAAAAAAAAAAAAAAAAAAAAACTCTCACTTTGTTAAAATTTCGCAGTCCTGCTAGAAAAATAAAGCATCCGGAGCCTTTACTAGGCATCACACACTCTACCCCAAACGAAACCAATGTCAGGGGGGGTAACAAAGTGGGAAAAAATGGAAAGCGAATTTCAAAGGGCTCCACTGTGAAGCCAATCTGAGATTCACAGAAAGTGGAGACGGATAAGACAGGAATTAGGTCATAGCCTCCAGACCCCAGGAAATCTGTTTAGATCAAAGCCCGCTCCATTAGGATAAACAAAACAGGGCCCTTTGGGCTCGACCAATATTTTCATCTCTGTGCTAAGAGCTACTAATCTAACCAGTTCTATTTGATGAAAGAGGGTAAAAATGACAACTGTAAAAATGACTAAGTAAAAAAAAAAAAAAAAAAAGTCCTCCCAACTATACTAGGAAGATAAAGATTTAGATTTGAGCTAAAAAGTAACAAGATCCAGGCCCAGATCAACACAAACTTCCTGGAATTTTAGCACTAAGTAAATTATCTAATCCCAGCCCATTGTTCCGCTCCCCCTGCCCCCCACCCACCCCATGCAGTTCAGCGTACCAGATGATTTACATAAAAAAATTGTTAAATTTTAACTGCAGCCTAAGGACGTTGCAGGAGGCTGACTTTTGGGTTCACTTACTTTACATTCCTTAAGGACCTACCTCTCCCCACCACCACCCCCCAATCTTATTGGCCCTGCCCCCCGGGCCGTTGTTGGGGTGACGTGCTGGCCTCTCTGGTCGTGGGTTCTCCGAGCCCACTGTTCAGATTTGGGCTCTCTCCCCACGACGGGCAGATGCACAGAGGCTGGGCCTGGTGTCACATAAGCCTGGCTTTGGGTCCACACCACACGGCAGCCGTTGATATGTTAGCAGCTAAGCCTAAGGACTGTAAGGATTTCTTTCACTGCAGAGTCGATGGCTTTAAACCAACTGCCAGGGAACATTTGATAGATAGAAACATCCAGAAAAGGGACAGGAAATCCCAGAGAAGGAAAATTCACCCGGGCTAAATCCAGGGCTGTAGTCCCTTGCTGAGTCTGGCTTCCTCTTAACTGTTTAAACATATGATTTGGCTTCTCTCGTGTTTCTATGTCTATCTGAGCTCGAGTTTAACAAAGACTCAGGGACCGCCCGTCAGGGGCTCTGGCCAGGACCACGGGGGTGGGGGATGTGACAAGCCTTTATAAACACTGCCAGGAACAGGCCATCTTCTGTGTGGGGCCTTGGGCTGCTCACCTCACAGAGGGCAGCCCCAGGAGCAGCTTTGTCCTTATGTTCCGTGAAGGGCTTTGAAGGCGGTGGTGGCACTGTGTGGGAGGCCACACAAGCCGACCCGTCTTCATTAGAGCCAGGGTGGTACCCCGTCCAGCTCGCCGAGGGCAACTGAATCTTGACACAGTGTGGTCTGTGAGGACATGGACGCCGAGAGGCCAGGGGTCACATCTTCTTGCTGTAATCACAGCCGTAGTCAGCAGGAGGCCCAGACAGTCACCTGCAAACCTGGATAAGACGCAAATACAGCAGACTCCTCTCCTGACGGGAGGGGGAGTACAATCAGCCTGCAGCGCTGCTTCTGCAGTCAGAATTTAGGGGTGCCGCCACACGTCCCATAACAGTCCCGTGAGACAGGCACGGCCACTGTCATTTACCAGGTGACAACACTGAGACCCAGAGAGCTGACAGGGCAGAGCCGGGCACCAGGAATCCTGGCGCTGCCCCTGCTCGACAGCCAGCCTGGGGTGTGGTCCTCAGTCACCTGGCCCATGGACCGGTTTCCCCATCCGTACCCTGTGGGGTTTGATTTCCATCAGCATTTCCCAGGAGCTACCATCAGAGGCTTACCACGCCCCCAGTTTCACTTTATGGGAGCACCCCCTTTGCTATGACAGGTATCCCCGCTTTTCTAAAGTCCGCTTTACCCCACTTTGCTTTCACAAAAGGCCTGTTTTCACTAACCGAAAGAAATCCAGAGAGGATTTTCACTATTACGGAAAAAAAGGCGAAAATCAAAACTATCCTTCGGCGTTTGTTTTACAGCTGCACCCCGAGCA